CTTCTGGAAGAAAACTTCCCTAACATCCTGAAAGACAAGAAGATAAATATTCAAGTAGCCCAACGTACCCCAGGAAGGATAGACACCAAAAGAAAGTCTCCAAGACATATAATAATCAAGCTCTCCAAAACCAAAGACAAGGAAAGAATACTAAAAGCGGCCAGGGAGAAGAGAAATATAATTTATAAAGGCAAACAAATTAGATTAAGCGCTGACTATTCAGAACAAACCATGCAAGCACGAAGGCAATGGGGAGACATATACAAAACCCTACAAGAAAAAAAACTGTCAACCAAGAATCGTCTATCCAGCAAAACTATCAATCAAATACAATGGCGCGATCAAAACATTCCAGGATAAACAGAACCTGAGGGAATTTATCAAAACCAACCCAGCACTTCAAAACATCCTAAAGGGAGTTCTGGAGATGGAGAACCAAAAGAACAGATGACAGAGACTGACAAGTATGGCAACACCACCTGGAACACAGCCAACAGAAAGCAGAATCCAGAACGGAATGAGACTACAACAATGAACTCAAGAGAGTCCATAGATCAACTGAAGGACATAAACATATCAATGTCAAAGAAGGGACAAACGCAGCAACAGAAGCCCAGGTGGTGGAGATCCCAGGTAACTCACAGGTTACAATGGAGTTTCCTAAATGCATAGAAAAGCTAGTAGACTACAAGGCAATCACAAAGATAGTTAGCACTCCACAATATATCATGAAAACGAATTCCCAAACAGAACGAATAGAGAAACTAGGAAGAAACTGGCCATTAACAACTCAAAAAACACAAACCCAATACAAGAGGGAAAGCAGAACCAAAGAACGAACAACACCGCCAAAAAAGTAACATAATAACAGTAATCAACTCATACTTATCAATAATTACATTGAATGTTAATGGATTGAATGCACCAGTAAAGAGACAAAGAGTGGCAGAATGGATAAAAAAACAAGATCCATCAATATGCTGCCTGCAAGAGACACACCTTACTTACAAAAAGACAAAAATATACTAAGAGTCAAAGGATGGAAAAAAATTGACCAAGCCAATTCCAGCAATAAACAAGCAGGAATCGTGATACTAGTCTCCAACAAAGTAGACTTTAAGATAAAAACCAGCATAAGAGACAAACAAGGACACTACCTCATGATCAAAAGGTCAAATGAGCAGAATTTACCTGAGGAGAAAATTCAGAGGGGCTGGGAAAGAAGGAGGTCAGGAAACACAGGTGGCAAGTGTGATAAGTGAGGCTACAATGAGGGGATTGCAACTGAGATGAAACAAAGTGTATGAACTGTTGAATGTAAACCAATAATCTGATCTGTAAACCTGTTCACTCAATTCACAGTTGTTGCTAAGTGCCGACGAACTGGTTTTCACTTATAGTGATTCTGTATACGGTTTCCGAGGAGTGGCTGGTGGGTTTGAACCACTGACCTTGTGATTCAAATGGATCTTGCAGTCCAGTGCATTATCCTGCAGTGCCACAGCAGGACTCCCAATTCGCAATACAAAGTTAAATATAACTTTTTAGATAAGCTAAAAATTAGCTGTATAATGCTTAAGACCATTCAAACAGACTACATTTGCTGTAATTTGTATATAACTAAAATCTTAATTTAAATTGATCAACATTTAACATTTTTTCCCTTTTTACTCACCTGTAAGATTCTTTGCAAGATTGATGGAAGAGCGATAAATGCTGCCATACTGTTTAGAACTTGCATGGTCAGAGATTTCAGAGCTGTTACAATAAAAAGTTAATATTAAGGTTAGTTTTATTGAGTTTTCAGTTCTTCCTGTAAGTCAGTGGAAAATAATAGCTTTATATAACTCCACTTAGTTAACCAAGGCCATTTTGATAGTTTTTAAATTAAGTGCTGATAAAGTAGCAAAGACTACTACTATTCTTCAAGACAAATGATATAACTTACGTCAGAGAAAGAATTAGACCTGAAAAAATGAGACCAACAAATATAGCCTCATTGTGAAAAATAGTGAAAATATGATATTAGGGAAAGGTACCACAAAAGGTAATTTTTAGCAGATAAAAACTGGGTGGATGGTATAGGTGGACTTCAGTTCTGAGGAACTTACCTTCAGAGTGTGGATGAGGTACAGCTGAGCTGGACAGCTTCTGAGGGGCCATCATTGCCTCCAATAATGGAAACCAGAGTGCCTACAATGCCAGGGAAGCCAAAGGAACACCAAAGTGCTATGTTATTTTTATCAACAATGACATCAGCATGGATTTCTGAGTTGTATACATGGTTAATGCACTTGGCTGCTAACTGGCAGTTTGAGTCTGCTCAGAGCTACCTTGGAAGAAAGACCTGGTGATTGACTTTCAAAAACTGTCACTGAAAACCCTGTGGAACAGAGTTCTACTATGACACACATAGGGGTTATAATGAGTCAGTGTCAACTTGACTGCAAGTGTTTTGACAACAGCATAATGATTTTCAGGTTGAAATGTACTCACAAAAATTAGCAAATAAGTAGCATTTGATTAGGAAGAAAGACACACATGCACACACACACACACACACACATAAGCAGAGACCATAGCTAGAATGGGTTATTTTTACAGTGCAGCCTTGGGAATCATAAGGAACATCAAGTTAAATAAGTTTAGGCCTTGGAACAGTAATCTTTTTTGTCTCAGATGTGGGTAGGTTCAAAAGAGCCAAGACAGAACTTCCTGTTAGGTGCCTATGTACTCTGGTACAAACACATCACCTTATGTACTGCAGAAAGGAATGGACCCTCCTCCATAACACCCCTCCCCCAAATTCATCTTTAGCTCTATTAAGCAAGGTAAATGAATAAAGCTTATCCAAAGTTTTGTCCTCTATCAAACATTTTATTTCCTAAGTGATTACAAACCAGAAGTGGAAGCTACTATTATTTCAACTATGAGCTAAAGGAACAGATGTATCATTTATCTGTTCTTATCATGGATCCTGGTGTGGTGCTGTGGGTTAATATGTTGGACTGCTAAGTTGGTTTGAACCACAAGGTCAGTGGTTCAAGCTCACTAGCTACTCCTCGGAGCCCTATACGGGGTCATTATTGGTCGGAACCGACTAACAACAACAATAATGATCAGGCTTTTCATATATTTTCTCATATGGATGTCATAATAAGCTTACACAATAAGGCTTAGAAAAGTTAATTAATCAAAGTTCACTGCCAGTAAATAAGATGTCAGATTCCAAATTCTTTGCTTTTTCTAACCCTCAGGTAAATTTCTCATTTTCAAAAATCAAAGCAACGATTTCAAACTTGTTTTCTTGTTGGGTATGAGTTTACAAAAGCTCTAACCTACTATCTGAGGAAGAACCATTCATGGTGAACACCCAGGAAATATGGAGAAAGACTAGTATTGACAGAGCAGGCCAAGCATAGTTTTTTACAGTGGAGGGCATCTGATATTGTAGAGTTGTCTGGTAATGGAAATACAAGAGCAGTTTAAGGCAAATGCAGCCTCCCACTGAAGAGCCCTGTTTCTTGTGGTTAGTTGCTATCAAGTCAATTCTGACTCCATGTGCACAGAGTAGAATGGCTCCACAAGGTTTTTCAAGGCTGATCTTTCAAAAGCACATCACCAGACTTGTCTTGTTAGGTAAGGTGGAGGGTCAGAGAAAAAGAGGAAGACCGCCAGCGAGATGGACTGGCAAAGTGGCAGCATCAATGGGCTCAAGCGTGGCAACAATTGTGAGGCTTGCCAGGATAGGGCAGTGTTTCGTTCTGTTGTGCACAAGGTCGCTTCGAGTTGGTAATGACTTGATGGTACCTAACAACAACAACAAGAACATGGAAACATGTCCAGATTTCAAGGCAGAATGGATATAATGGAAAATAGATTTCATAATGGATATAAAACCTAGCTCTCAAGGACATTATTCTGCCTGTATTTAAACTCTGGTTCTCATAATCAGAGACAGGAACAGGGATTCCTTTGATGTGGCAAAAAGAAAATGCACTCCATCTTTGGCAACAAAACAAAAAATCCAAAAAACAGCACATGTATCTTAGATGGGATTTGTTTTCATAAAGTTATTAGATGTCTTTTTCTATACTTCAAAAATGTTCACTTCCCGGAACAAACAAGATGGCGGATCGGGTAGACGTATAGCAGAGAGCTCCGCCAACAACAACACAGAATACCCGACCAAACAGGCTCAGGGGATGGTCCCAGAACTCTGAACCACATATAAAGGAATACTTAGAAGGTTGGAAGGCTC